GAAACTGAACTGGGGGTGAGTGGTGGGAGGGATGGCTGCAGCACCCAGCTTGCCTTGTAGGCAACATGTACAAAGCTGGCTTCATCAGGGGCTTGGTAAGGCAAGGTGTGAGGCACAGGTAACCTATGTGCCTGGCTGTTACCCATTGGTCCTGGGGAGCCCAGTGAGATGGTGGGGCAGTGCCAAGCAGAGATCCTTCTGCCAGAGCCACACCCACCCACAACCAAAATCTTGCAGCTCTGTGCTAGCTGGGGTATTTTAAAACATTCATATTTAAGGTACAAGGAAATATTTAATTTTAAACAGAACAGTCTGTTAAGTCTCTTCCCCTTTTCATGTCGAGCACTATGCCAAGGGTATAGGCTGTATTTATTTACTAGCAGCTCATTCTAATCACAGGTTTACAGGAGCAAACTCGCAGTGTTGTGAGCAGTTAGACATGTCATTGGCTCCCTCTGAAGGTGTTGAGTAAAGGCTTTGAACCAACTGAGTAAAGCCAAGCCTTGTTAGCTCAGGGGAGCTCCAGACAGTTCAGTATTGCATGGCAGCTTGATTGCTTTTGTGTTCTCACCCCTGATCCTGTTCCTTGTTCAGGCTGAAATTTCTCTCATTTTCTATCACTATGTGAAAACAACCTCTTTTTGAAAGCTCAGACATTTTCTTCTGAGTTAGATTTTATGTTTCTGCGCCAAAACCCGCAGAAGCCACTACTGGGTGCTTTACAGTCTTAATTATACATTGCAGCAGCTCGTTAGAAACTAAAATGTGAATGCTTGAAAAAAATGAACTGGGGAACATAAAGGAGAAAGTGCTGTCAATGCTCTTAATTTTATTGTATATATAATTGTATGTAGCACAAGTAAAAACTAAGAATTTACACCAAAACTGACTTGTTGGCTTTCTCTTTCACAGGATTTTTTTTTCCTGTTCTGCTATCTTTGCAGAACACCTATTTTGATTAAAATAAAAACGCTTGAGATCTTAAAGTTTCAAACTTACGGTGGTGTTTGGGTGCCTCCTCTTTCTGCTTACCACTGCAGCATACAAGCCTAAACTGGACTAGCCTTCAAGATGCTTGTTCTAGAGAAGAGATGGAAAATCATGTGCAGCCTTAGAGGTGTGACAGAATCAAAACACTCCCCTGGAGAGCGTCAGGATCCTTTCCCTAGTGACGCCTGCCATGGAAGCCAAACTGAGCATGGCTGCGGGCAGTACGAATGTCTCCTATCTCCTTCCTAGGGAGAGAAAAGTGGGAAGTACAGGCTAGGTATTTTAAAAGAACCAGAGCATTCAGGGTAATACTGCAAGCTTTGTAACTGTCTGAAAATGAAACCACTTCAGCATCTGCAGAAGAATGCCTCTTTTCCAGGAGCTCAGATAAACGGCAACTAACTCCCAAGCAAATTACTGACTATGACTCCGCTTTTTTCCAAAACTTTCAACCTGAGAAGCAAAGATAAGGAATGATTTGGTGAATACACAAGTTGACTGAGCATCTGAACAGCACCCATAGGCTCAGATTCACATCCCCTGCTACCCCTCCACTCTATTCATGCTGCTGAAGTCCTCTGCCCCTTACCTGCACAAGGGCCCCGACCCCTCCTGATTTCCCATTTCCCCAAAACAACATGAAGAAGACAGAGAAGCCAAACTAGGAGGCACATGGTTGCACCCCAGGATGCCTTCTCAGACCACGCAGGAAGGCTGTGAAGTGCTTCCATGCCCCAGTCTCCCACACCCTGTTGAGGGATGGGGATGAGGTGAGGCATTTTGTTGGATCAAGATCAAGATCAGCGTTTTTCTTCCATTAGACATTGTAAAGGATGGCTGGGCTTTTGGACTCTGAACTAAATACAAGCTTTGTAAATACAAGCACCTGTTTCTCAGCAGGTGAGCAAGAAACTCAGTGCTCATACAAAGTCAGAACTCTAGGAAAGAGCTCTCTAAGTCAGGGGGCTACCTTGGGGGGCATGTGGATTGCAGTGCAGCTTACCTAAGGAAAAAACTCATACACAGATCCCTGCCATCAACTTGAAACTGGTTTGTTCCTGTGAAATGCAAGTTTTCATAGCAGACTGTTGCCCAGCTTCTTTGAGATTTTTAAACACACAAATATTTTTTCATCAGAGAGCAAGTATAATGAAGCTCCTTAGTCATACTGCTGTAGTTTACAGAACACAGCTTTTATAATCCCAGTGCTGAATGCCTGTCAAAGCCCTGAAGCTTGCAGCATTCAAAAGAAAAAAAGCTCACAACCAGCCACTGTTAATGTGTCAAATATTTGATGTATGTGCAAGCACACACTGAACCGACTGGTTATCACCAAGCACTGTGGCAATAACAATGCCTACATACTTCTGGAAAGAAATACAAAGTTGTGGTGAACTTTTAACTTTAAGTATTTGTTCATGCTTGTTAGAGATACCAACCTGATTATCTCCAAGACTTGAGTCATATATTCATCCTTAGGACAAGAGCAATACTGGCACGAATTGGGGAGCTTGCTCTGTCCTGCTTGGAGGAGTCTTTAAGGCTGGCAAACATCCACCAACCTCTCAGCAAGAGGACCGAGACCTAAATCCTTTGAAACACTGTACTACACCCAATTATCATTCCCACAGAATCATCCTGATGTTTTATCCAGCAGCACTCATAATGATCTTTGAAAGCTCAGCTGCATATCAGGAGGACTTGTACTTGGATCAGTGGAGAACATTTGTCCCTCAGCAAGGGGTCAAACCTAGCTGACACCATACTGCCTGTTAAACACTAGAGCTGCTTCTCCCTCGTTTCCCCTTCCCTACCCCCTTGCAGCACATTTAAAGGGAAGGGGTAACAGGCCCGTCCAAATGACACACAGGACCCTACAAGGCACATGCTACAGCTACTGCAGCTTCAGGAGGACTCCATCATACTGCCTCCATCTCAGCTGCAACTGAAGCTGAAGAAGTTTCTCAGGTTTTGGCGAATGAGAAAATCTCCGTTAGCGTGCAGGGCAAAGAGCGACAGCACAAGACTACCCTCCAAGTAATTCTGGAACATGGTGAGGAGCACATGCAATAACAGGGCTGCAAAAGGCACCAGACTGGCCACTATCATGCTGCTGGCCCTTTATACCAATTTGCAAGTCACCTCTTCAAGTCACTGATTCCTGCAGTAGAACTCGTGGTTGAAGTTTCTATGAACTAGAAATCTTCATCCTATGGAAGCCTTTCACTACACGGGATGTAGGATGGAAGTTCAAGCTCAGCATTTAGTGCAGATATCTCCAAAGAAGCAGGCTATTTACCATTGTCTTTCCTGTCTGGTAAAAACTACACAAAAGCAGAACAATCTTTTTTTCACAGCTTACCTATAAGCATGAAAACTAGCCAGCATTAAACCTAAAGACAGAACACTTCAGACACAGCGTTTGTGGGAAATCATTACTCACTCATGGTTACTGATCGAGATTAGTTAACACATGATACATTAGCATACAGTACTAAAATCCAGGACTTGATTAGCCTAATTATTCAACAACAGCATTCCTCCATACTTTTGTTGACCCATTTTATCATCTAAAGCAAATTAGCTACATATTTTAATGTGTTTGCTAGAAATGTTATCCAAATACTCTCAGTAAACCATCAAACCAGTTTCCTGAAAGTCTTGTTGCCTGGCACCATAGTGTGGGCTAGGAGCCACTCTTGGAGGCAGCCGCCCTGCTTTGGAGTTTAACCATAAAGAAGCCATTTTGATGTCATGACCACAGAGGTATCTCTGGCACTGCCACTACTGGAACAGACACAGGGGAAAGAAAAGTTAAAAATGTGTGGTACAGTACAGGAGGAGATCCTGCTTGAGAATGCCAATAAAGCCACGACTAGAAGCCAGAGTGAAACAGGCACATTCAGAAGGGAAATTTAGCAAGTTGCCAACTGCTTTGTAAAAAAAGCTGAAGAACCTCTCTCTGTAACAGCTTGTTTGATGCAATGATTGTTTCCCCAGAAGACTAGAAGTAACAAGTCAAGGCAGGTATACAAAACTTTTTATTGACAACTGAACAATAGAGAGGAATGTCACCACTTCCCATTCCTCAGGAATGTCTCCATTTCACAGTCAGTCTGCTAAAAGTATATTTTCATGGTACCAAACGACACAAAGGCATGGAGCTGTCTGTAATCTCAAGAGAAGTGTTTGACCAGTGCAGTGCAAGGGACCGGCAGCGTGAGCGTGCAGCGGGCCCCATCACAACACGAACACGGCAGGCAAAGGGGCCGCAGAGCCGGCGGGCACCCAGCAGGCAGATGTCTCAAATCATCCCCACTAGTTCCATCTAAGGGCCATACCCAGCGTGCTACCCGTTCATCTTCTTCCAAAAGTGAATACTTTCTCCCCTCACTCCTCTCGCTTTCCCTGTCCTCAAAGATGTTAGTATTTCCAATTGAATGGTACTGCGTCAGACAATCTCTGAGCTTTTATATTTTGCTATCTCATAAAAGTTCATGCATGCACTTGAGTTTACTTTCAGAAGCTTACATTGACATAAAGGGGGGGGAAAAAAGTGTTATATAAGAATAAAAGAATTTAGTAGTTAATGCTAACAAACATATTTCAGTTGAAGATACTCCTTGTAATGCCATTTTTATAAAGTATGCATGCAGTCTACTTAAAGAAACTGCATGTCAAACTCTTAACAATTTCAAATACTCTGAAATGAAATTTGAGGTAAGCTTAAATTCTAAATAAAATATCTTAATTTTGTCTTTCACAGTACACGGAACTGGATATTGACTTCAATACAAAAGCACTCTTTCTCCTGTCCAAGTTTTCTCTCCCTGCAGAACTTTACTGGGACCTCTGTGTAGTAGCTTATACATTTCTTAACATTTATTGATTTAACGTGTTTTTACTTTACTTAGTGGATGTGCCTCTGGATGTGTAGACTGGTTGTTAAAGTGCTCTAAAATAAAACAAAAAAACCAACAAAAGAAAACAGCCCTCAAAAAAACCCACAACAGATGTGAGAATTTTATCTGAAGGACTTTGTACAGCATTTACAACGTCAGCATAAAACATCTGAAACATGAGCATTCCCTGCAGACTGATGCAGTGCAAGCAGTCTCATACATTAGACACTGCAATTCCTCTGGATTCAAGATGCACAATACTTACAAAAGCAACCCTAGAAGCACAGACAAATGCTGGTGGCTCTTCCTCTTCTTTTTAGAAACATAATTAAAAAAATCTGCATTACTCTTTCATAATTTAAATACATAAGTAATCTCACTTTTATTACTTCATGACAATGACTTCAAATTTACATTACGTACCGTCATAATAGCTCCATGTATAATACAGATATTTGCTGATATCCTGTCGGAAAATAAAAAAATCCCTCCACTATATAAAAAAAATAATACTGGAAAGACAAGAACACAGAACAGGGACTTGGTACAGACTATGATTTCAGTTTTATATCAACCACAGTTAACCCAAAATTAACAGATACACAGCGATATTCAAAAGCAGTGCAAATATCTTTGGAGGTTAGAATAGAATTATACTACAAGAACATAAGACAAAAGAAATTAAAAGGCAAGTACTTCAAGTACAGGAACCAGTCTCTGTGATTAGTCTCTGAACCAGTCTCTCCACCTTAGTGTTAGCTGTGACCTCCTTTTCCCATCTTACTTCTTCCTCTGAAACACATTAGCCAACATGGCACCAGATGTGGTCAGTTGGCCCATCTTGTTCAAAAACTTAGTCTTTGTATCTTCACTCACAAGGCTCGCTGCAATCGACATCGAGCTAGGGAAGTAAAAAATTTAGTGACAATATTACAAAGGAAAAAAGAACATTGTGCTGCTATTTAATAAGCAACTGAATTGTCTCTGCATTCTAGAGGTTTCAAGGTCACAAAAGAACAGTCTATCAAGAGCTGAAAAACCATCATCACCAATTACAAATTCACAGTACTAAATTAATTACCATGCCCTCACAGTCCTAGTGAAAAGTTGTAAATGATTTTTGTGCACACTTTTCACTACCTTTAGAAGTCATCACATTAGCATTTGTTAACTATTTGGCAATTGCTCCAGTGACAAATACCTCTGTGAAAGATTTGCTTCACCTTACTGGAAATGTCAATCTGATTTAAATAAGAACAACAGTACTGGTTCAGACCAAGGATCTACCCAGCCCAAGTATCCTGCCTCCAACAGTGACCATTAGCAGTCATGTAACAAACCCACGCCGAGTACAAACCAGAGACCTCTTTCCTTAACTCCCAACTCTCTTATTTTCCCAATGTTTTCATCTGAGCACAGTTTAAAAATTGGTGTGGACTGTCAATTTAGTAACTCCCAATGAATCTTTCCCTTACATTATTTGTTCAGCTTTTCTTCAATCAACTTGTGAATTTCTTGTAAACCCCACAGTGGGGCACTGAGTCCTCCTACGTCTGCCCCTCACTGAGTGAAGAGCTCTCTCCTGGTTGTTGTGAATTGACTCCTGCGACCGTTGCTTGAGCCTTCCTACTCCACACGTACCAGAAGACAATGAGGAGTTTACAATTTTCCCCACAAACCGGGCTAGGAGGAGCAATGCAATTCAGTGTTGAACCTACAAACTGAAACAACCTGGGACATGTTATAAGAAATTATTGCAATGATGCAAAATTAACTGACTGGGTTTTTTTAAATTTACAACATATCACTGAGCTTAACTTCAGATGAATCTGTTTCGCCTAGGACTAATCTCTCTCAAGACAGAGTGCAACAAGGCAAATGTATGATAGCAGGAATATTAATAAATATTCCATATTTCCTATATTTGTAGTTAAAATAGCAAACATTTTCCACCATTAGGGTCCACTTTACAAAACATTACACAAGAAATGTTCCCTTGTGAGCTCAGTGTGGATTCAGGGTTTCAAACTTGTACCCAAGATCACAAGATCTTTCTTACTGGCACAGGCCAGCTTCCAGGAACAGACTTTTCAATCTGCAAGGTTATGAACTGTTACACACTTCTGCATCAAGGCAGGTCAACTTCAAGTTAACTCCAAATTGCTTCAAAACTAGCAGGGATGCATTCAGTACTTTTTTCCACTTCAAGCCACAAAGAAAGGTGCTTAGTGGTAGTGAACTTGCACTATTTTAAAAGACAGTACTTGAAAAAACGAGGAAGCTCCTCACTAAAACTGTACTATGGATTTACAGATAGCTTAATTGTATTATAACTATATCCCTTCAAATATATCCCACATCCTTTCTACTTTTTAAGATGAAGAGATTCCCTGTCTTATGTACTTCCACAGCACCTAATGGACCTAGATCCTTTAGCTATGCCTCACATAGCCTACCTAAGAGTATGCTCTTAGGTTCTTTTTTCAGCACATCTACAAAGCATGCTCTTAGGTTCTTTTTTCAGCACATCTCCTGTTAATGGAACAGGTTATTCACATCAGTCATCTCATTTAAAATATTATTCACTGGTATTTTCTGAAAGCTCTGCAAAATTCCTCATTATCTAATGTTTTGTGCTTAAGCATCATTTTATTGAAAGTATGATGTCTGCATATTTCATAAAATTTCAAATTTTTTTTTTTGTTCCTATTTAGCAGCCAGTGATGAAGATATATAGCTGTCTTGGACTGATTTATAAAACTTTTTACACTAAGTATTTATTTCAGTCATAATCGCATAGCCAGACATCTTTGGCTTGTTTAAACACCTACAGTCAACTGAGGCATCCCATACTTCCAGCTGGTAAAACTTAGCAGGTAAAGTTACTATTACTGTAAAATGGATTTCTTGTGTCATGTCCCTTGATTTCATGAGAAAGCAAGGGCATATAAATTATGTAAATAACAGTTTATACTTGCCATCAGCTGGCTAATGACAAGGAGCTATTCCAGCCTATGGTGTATCCTAGAGTTTTGTGTAACTAGGGAAAATGATTTTGGAAATGATGGGAGATTCTAAGCATAGCAACATTAAGCAAATAAAACTGCTCACTTCAGGAAAGGAAGCTTAGCAACTGGTCACAAACTTGTAGTTTTAAGCAAACTGTGCTGTCATTATTCTTATGAACCTGAATAAGCTGGAGGAGAACTAGGAAATGTTCAATTGACTTTCAAAACAGTTTGGGGGGATATCAGCCACCTGATGTTAAAAACTAAAATATTAAGAACCAGAGTGTCATGTTTTCTATTATGTTACTGTAAATAGAAATACAATCCACAAGACTTGACATACTTCAAAGGTTAAATATGCCCCAAAAGGACTATCACTGTACAAATGGAATATTTAAACATAATAATTAAAACAATATGAAAAATAATTTGAGTCTCTTGTCTTTAAAAGTAATCAGAAAAGCCACCAAAGCAATAATGTATCTTGTTTGAAACCAGTTATCCTATAGAAAAGTCGTTGCTTTTACTGATTTAAAAAACAAGAGAAAAACCAGCCCACAAACAAAAATGAGTAAACACACAATTTTTGATCAGTGCCTAGACGACTTACATGCTATACAGAACTCTGCCTGTTTTATGGGGAAGCTTTAGGCCAAAAGAAACATTCACGATGGTCATTTTAGAAAAATCAGTTTGTAACAGAGTTGTTAGCCATGACTGAAATAATGTGTTAATTGCTGAAGAAAACACAAAAGTAACAAAAGTAGCTATCCAATATTTTAAAAGATAAAGTTTAATGTTTTTTAAAAACTATTTCTGTGACCTTGTATTATTTGATCAACCTTTTCTAACAGTAAGGGGCAAAGACAAGATAACCAACACCATCTTACGATTGCTTGTGCATCCCGTTTTATTTTTGTGCTTGCATCCTCATATTGTTAACAAAAATCAGTAATTTATCTCCTAGTTGCATTTAAATCCTTCATCAAAGACATATTTAACACTGAAACTAGGAACTGAAATTGGCAAGGGATTAGGAAGAAAAAGGAGATATTCTTGTACATGAAAAGGTCATTTCTTCATTGGTAAACTATTGTGTTAATTTTGTACACTAAAAGATTGCAACCATAGCTTGATTTTCAATAAGAAAGGGGAAGGCTAATTAAGGAACAAAGAAACATAAGACTTATCCGTTTCAAATCTTGAAGTTTTCAGTAGCTGCATTCTAAAAGAAAATACACTGGATGTTGTATCTTTGCATTTATCGGTCTGTGCAATAGCTTAATAGGACTAAATGTGATTTTAAAACATTTTCATAAGAGGGATTTAAAAGAATACAGATCAAGTCTTATACTTAGGTTAACATGTCTGCACCAACAGAAGTGGAAGCAAGGTGATTCTAAAACCCATATTAAATAAAAGTTCATCCCTCGAACTCTAGTCACTCAGAGAACAGCTCTGATGAAATGTTAATAGGTTAAAACATTTGAAAAAGGTAAATGCACATGCTTAAAAAGACAAAAAAAATATTTAAAACCTTTCCAATTGAAGAGTACCAGTTGAGAACTGGGAAGGGTTCAGCCAAGTAATTTGGTTTTGTAAAGCTTAGGTTTCACAGTTCAGTTAATACAGGTAAGGTAATAAAAAGCCCCTTCAGGTTAAGGTGAATGGTGTTCTTTAAAGAGACCAGTTTGATGTTGCATTTGCTGAATTCTGAGAGAGAAAAAAATTTTCTTCCAGAACATGTTTGCCTGAGAAGGAATCAATTTCATATTTTCTAATGGTTGCCCCTGTCAAGAAGTTGCTCAAGAAGTGTTACATTAATTTACTTCAAAAAAACATTTATAATTTATCTTATGTTTTATATTTAGATGCATACACTACTTTTATTTTTTCTTTATATAGCCAAAGTCTTAGGTGATGGTTTACTGCACAAAGAGTATGGGAGACCTTATTGCTCTCTACAAGTACCCAAAAGGAGGCTGTGGTGAAGTGAGGTGGGTGTTGGTCTCCTCTCCCCAGAAACTAACAGTAGGACAAGAGGAAATAGGCTCAATGTGCCAGGGGAGGTTTCAGTTGGATATTAGGAAGAATTTCTTTACTGAAAGAAACGTGAGGCATTGAAGAGGCTGCCCAGGGAGGTGGTGGAGTCACCGTCCCGGGAGGGGTTCAGAAAATGTGTAGATGTGGTACTTTGGGACATGGGTCATGGTAGTGTTGGGTTGATGGTTGGACCCAATGATCTTAAGAGGTCTTTTCCAACCTTAATGATTCAATGAAGAATTAAAATGAAAAAAGAATATTGGTTGGTCTGCTAATTTAAAAAAAAAAAAAAAAAAGTCCATAAAAACCCCAGGAGAGGAAATATTTGCAGATGCAACTGATTCTAATTAAGTCATTGCTTTGTGGAGGGATGTCCTTGCACAGGTTTGTTGGCCAGAGTCTACAGCAATTGCTTAGTACTCTATCTGCAAAGAGTCTGGCTGTTAATTCTGCCTTATCACGATGAACCCATTGGGTACCTACTACACGAGGTATATAGTACAGGGAAAACCTTGATCAAACTAATGTTTACATGCAAGAGTAGGATGGGGCAAATGGGTGTATCTTGACAAAAATCATTATTGGTAGGTTGTTTTCTGAGGAAATCACTGCTTTAAGTGCCAACCTTTATTATAGCTGAAGGCAACCAAAGCATTCACCATTTTTTAAAAATAAAAAGCAACTACACAGCTGCTGAAGAATCTGAAGGATACAGGAATGGGATGGGCATTCAGAGTGTGGCTTCTGGGAGGACACACAGGTAGGCATGCCAGAAAGCTCCGTTTAAGAGAAGGAAGAAAGGATAAAGGTAAACATACACAGCTTGAGCAAGTAACATAGTGAAGCCCTTGGAAAAAACACCAGCGTGAATGAATGCATTTTTGGGTCTTGACTGGCTATTTATGTTGCAAGCAAGGAACATGCCTGTGGAGTGATTAAGTCAAATAAACCTGTTCTTATTCTGTGAATAAGAAATATCTGTTTCATCATGAAAACAGCCACTCAACTGGAATACACTTAATACATTCTCTGCTTTGTAATATTACCACATGAAGAGGAGAAAGGACAGAAGGTGGCCAACAGTGCATTCTTCAGACCTTAAAGGTTCTGTATTTCTTCTTCCTTAGACAGGACTTCTATACGACTAGACAGAAGCAACTACGTTATTAGAGCACATACACTATGGACTGTGTTTTGTTGTAGAACCTGGACTTTTTTAATTTAAAATTATTTCACTCCCAACGTAATTTCTAGAACACCTTTAATAGTTGACCCGGTGCTCATGTCTCAAATGAATTCAGTTCTTACTACATTCATTATCAACTCCACCAGTAAGCAGGCTGATTACCACTAGTAAATCCTGAGACTGACTCTTTTTCCACGCCCTGTCTCTTCTGTTCAATTCTTGTACACCTTTCCTATTTCCATTGTTCTCAAACTACCACTTGCTTCCAGGATTTTGCCTGTGCTCTTTCAAGAAGTAAATTAGATCAATTTGCTATAGATATGGAAGGATGATATTAACAAGTTCCAGTAACTGTGTCAATTCCCACGGCAAAGTATCAGGACTGAGGACAGAGTCTCCTTTTCAGATAGCGACTGCTTGTTCTCAAACTCTTTCTGGCAACACTGCTAACCATTTATTAAGTTATATTGAGTCCATGAGAAGTTACCTGCTGGTATGATATCCCAGGCAACAAGCCAGCAAAAGAACATATGCACCTCATCACAATGATGCATAGTTTTTCAAATCTGTGGGTCTGTTAGCTTCTGTTGTTATGAGGAGGGAGAGACACTCGACCACCTGAGGCAAACTGATGTATAGACACCACGTGTCTGGTGCCTCACTGGAGAGCTGTTTACTGTGCATTTGTAGAGCGGGTGTTTCACTGAAGTGCAACATAGGTGGCTTCTTCCCAAGGCCAACACACTTCCTAAGGCATGTACTGACACAGGTAGGTAAGTTTATACATTGGAGAAACTGTTCTCGTGTGCACTAGTCACATGGAAGCAAAGACAGCAGCCTGGAGCAGGTCATAGGATCAGGAGCACAAGTAGTGTTCTCCTCTATCCCTCCAGCTGCAGGGAGTAATGAGGGAAGAAACAGGAAGACCCAGCAGATCAATACTTGACTCCAAGCCTGGTGTTAGCAGCAGGACTTCAGGTTCTTTAAACATGGGTCGGTTTACACAACACCAGGCCTGGTAGTGAGAGACAGGGTACAACTGTCTCAAAGGGGGAAAAAGACTTGCACAGGACTTGGCAGGGCTCTTTGAAACAGCTTTAAACTGGATTTGAAGGGGAAGGGAATCAACCAGGCTTGCTGGAGACCAGCCTGAGGGCAGCACATCAATGCTTGTGGGACAGGGAAGGTCCTTTGGCCTGCCTTCCCAGTGGACGTAAGGAATGGAGCACGTGTGATAGCAAAGACAGATGGGATACTGATGGGACAGAAATCACAGCAGAGTTGGGGAATGGTCAGGTAGGTACTGAGCCTTGTCCCCCACCCAAGAAGGTGACAAGATCAATAGCCCAACCAATGTGCATCTACACCAATGTACACAGCATGGGCAACAAACAGGAGGAGCTGGAAGACACTGTACAGCAGGGAAGCTATGATACAGTTGCCATGTCAGAAACACAGAGGGATGCTCTGCACAACTGGAGTGCTGCGCTGGATGTCTATAAACTCTCCACAGGAACAGGACAGGGAGGAGAGATGGTGGAGTGGCCCTGTAGATAATGATGGTGCTAACAGTTAAATGCAGTTGGCAGCTGGTCACAAGTGGTGTTCCCTAGGGCTCAGTACTGAGGCCACTCCTATTTAATATCTCTTTTCAATGATTTGGATGAGCATGTTTACAGACAACACCAAGCTGGGCAGAAGTGTTGATCTGCTTAAGGGTAGAAAGGCTCCAAAGAGGGACCTAGACAGGCTGGATTGATGGGCCCAGGCCAGAGGTATGAGTTTCAACAAGGCCAAGTGCCAGATCCTGCACTTGAGCCAAAACAACCCCAGGCAATGCTACAGGCTTGGGAGGAGTGGCTGGAAAGCTGCCCAGTGGAAAAGGACCTGGTGGTCCTGACTGACAGCTGGCTGAACATGAACCAGCAGTGTGCCCAGGTGGCCAAGAAGGGCAACAGCATTCTGGCTTCTATCAGAAATAGTGTGGCCAGCAGGAGCAGGGAAGTGAAGCACTTAGACCAAGCACTCCCTGCTTTCTCAGATTTGGGACAGAAATTCAATTACTGCTTTATACAGATGAAAAAATTAAAAACAAAGTAACATGGGAAAACAAGAATGTAATGCTATGATAGAAATAAAAATGTTTTACAATGTGTTTTACAATAGAGACAGGAACAACCACACACTGAAGTAAAGTTCCTAAATCTGCTTTCAAATACAGAATACCAGGATTTCTGGTCACAAGCCTTGGACACCATTATGGAATATACTCTGCAGATCATTACTCCGGAGGCACAGTAAAAAAAGAGAAGTGAAAGTCTTACCCCTGTGGTTCTTGGACGGTCTTGTTTTCCACTTTCTGTTCACACTCTTTTATCATAGAGCTTAAAATAACCTAAGATGTATAAGGAAGAGATAGACATGACATTTTTTCTTTCATATTAACACTCTGTGAGAAATCTACCCTGCAACTAATTCTGACATTAGCAGAACTCTTTAAAAAGTTTCTCTATAATTTTTCAAGTGCATTTAAATTCCAGCTGTCTAAAAATGTCTCATGACCAGAAACAACAAAACCATTCAAAATATTTGAAAGAAGAAAATGTCTCTGAAATGATTACAGGAGTTCATGTCTCCCTCCTGTCTCCCCTGGCTTTTTAACAGAGCTAAAGCAAACTGACTTATGTGACATACCTCCTTATCTTCCTTTTTTTCAGATACTTTTATTTATTAGTGATTAACTTTGACAAACTTTCACCTTCCCTGTGTTTTTCTTTAGAGAGTTTTCATCAAGTACCTTTAAAATTCATGCCTTTTATCAACATTTTGCATGAAAGAATAAAGCAAGGAAAGAAAAGAAAAAGTGTGATGGCATCCTAAGACAGAATCTTGATGGAAAGGAAGTGCTAAAGTGACCTTGGTACTGTTTCACTTGTGTCTGCCAATGCTTCTAAGAATCAAGGCTTTTCCTCTTTAGTTTCTGCAGAATATTTAGACAAAAAAAACCCCCACACTGACATTTACATTTCTCTAGCATACCAAAAATAAAGGAGTGATTCCCAACAGCAGGCTTTGAAAGAAACCATACAATCCATTAGACAGTGATATAACTTTGCCCAGAGCAGTGCTGTTTTAGCACATGAAGACAAAAGCATTTGGAACACTTAGGCAAAACAGTTGCAATGAGGAATGTGAAATTATGAACATAGATAGGTATATATACAGAAACACAGATATATATTTATGTAATCCAGTGCATAAATGAAAACTTTGTGTGCTCACAGCTCAGGAGAAAGCCAAGAACTTTGAGACACTAAACTTAAAATCTCAAAGCTACAAGAAACTAAACTGAACGGTGTCTTACCAAAACCTGAATACAGGAAAAACCCTAATTTCAATCTCTAAAATATCTATAAGTCACTAATGGTTAAAACAAAGTGGTAACTCTTCATTAATCTATTTATATACATAAAAAAGCCAGTTTCTGTCAAATCCCTATTAGCTAAAGCACAAAATAACCTTTTGAAACTGACCTGCAGATTCGTGCCACTGTTTGCCATTTCTCCAAAAGTATTACTGCAACATTTGCAACAGTTTGGGTCACAGGTGTTATAGACCCTTGAATGTTTCAGAAAGCAGCACTAGAACCTGCACAGGAGTCTAAGAGAACTCCAGCTCTTCCTGCTAAATTTGCTGCCCTTCATTTGCATAGAACATTATGCAAGTACTTAAACTCCAGAGTACCAAAGTCCAAGAGGAATACATTTGGAATTCCAGTGGAAAAGCAAGCTTTCCTTTATCAAAAGAAAACTGAAATGTCTAAGCACAGAATCATAACATCTGTTACTCAGCATTTCACCTATGCATTGGAACACTGCTACTGTTCTGTACAACTATCTGAATCTAGATGTTCTAAATATCAACAATATGAGACCTTGATAAGAGAGAGAACAATTCAGCATGGACTCAGAATGGAACCTAAAATGGGGTGAATAATTATTGTGAGTGACCAAAATAATGAGAAAAGGGTCAATTCTGTTTATGCAAATGTGTAAGTATTTGAAACAGTAAATCACACTTATTTCAGAAAACACAGTTGTAAGACAGAAGGCTTGAAAGACAGATCCTAGAACTGAATCTCAGAGGTCTCTGTCATGGTGTCTGCAAGCATCCTTGTAGCAAGCTGATTAAGCACCAGATTTACATTTTTACAGTAAAAACAGTAGTGAGTTTTCTAATCAAATGGAGCAGAAGTAAATATTTTAAAATTTGTTTTTCTCTGGCTAAAAAAAATAAAGCAGCACTTGGCATCATAACTGAAGCCAATTAATCACAGTGATGCAGAATGTGGCAAGAGAGCATTGAGAGATGTCTTTACTGATTCATTTTTAATCCTATTTAAGCCCTCATTTCCTTCTCTGGCTACAGACTAAAACTCAATCAACTAAGCTCTTTTGTTTTAATTCAGGTTATATTTTGAACTATGACCTTAAGCCTTAGAAGTTGCAGCAACTATTACACAAAAATTAAGTATCAGTATCTTTATCAGTTATCCTGTTAGTGAATAGGATAGAACAAAGAAAATGAAACAAAATCCAGCTTTTGCCTACTGCCACTTTCAGATACATTCTTAGACCTCCCAAAACACAACACATCTCACAGCTCTCTCAGATACAGAGATTCTATGATTCGATGATATTGTGGCCACTGATTTTAGTGTATTCTTGTTTTGAAGAAAAAACAGTAAGATCATTTCCTTTCTCATCCATCTACAAAGACCTTTGTTTCTAGATACATTTCTGACAATTCAATTTTTCTCTGCAGAGGTCCTCAGCTTAGAAATAGATATTTAAAGATTTTACTGTTTTTTCAATCATGACCTATTCCTTACCAAAAATAGGCTCAATGCTATGTCTTGATACCACTTACAAGTAGCTCTCCTTAACTTCTGGTTTTAAATACCACTACATTTCAATCTTTGTTGCCACCTGCACCTTGTATTGTGGAAACACAGCTGCTCACCTCATGCTCTGGAGAGAGATGTTCCATGTCAGTTCGTAAACATTTAAGTCCTGGTAAAAAGTGATTGACCATTAAATCCTCTGAAATAACTGAAAACCAGGTTGTTAAGATATCATAAGGATTGTCTTCTGATATTATACAATATTTTATCTGTCTTCTGATATTCTGATAGCTGTGTTATTCTACTGAACACAGAGACAAGCTACAGCAGCAAACCCCAAGAAAACTCAACAGCATGTGGTACTTCACGACTAATAAAGAAAAAAGATAGGAATTTAAATATGTTTAAGATATTTCATACATCCATACAATTTTTTTTCCCCCTCCTTAATTTGGTGGTTAAGATCAAGGACTTTGTTTTTGCAGTTTTCTGTTCTTTGTGCGTGTTTTTTTCCTCAGTTCCACTGTATTGGGTCTGGCTGAGATGGAGTTAATTTTCTCCACAGCAGTCCTCATAGTGCTGTGCTATGTACTGGTAGCTAGAAAGGTGCTGGTAACACACTGGTGTTTTGGCTGCTGCTGGACAGGGATGACCAGCATCAAGGCTGTCTTTCCAACATTCCTTCCTCAACCAGCAGACTCAGGGCAGGCAAGACCTTGGAGGGGGCATAGGCAGGGCAGCTAACCCAAACTGACCAAACTGATGTCTGCTCAGCAATAAAAGCTAAAAGAAAGGAGGAGGAAGTAGGAGGAAGGGCATTTATTATTATAAAGTTTGTCTTCCAGAGCAACCACTATGTGTACTGTCACCCTGCTTCCCAAGGAGTGGCTGGACATCCCCCTGCTGCTGGGAAGTAGTGAATAAATCATTTGCTTTCCGTTGCTTCTGTGCACAGCTTTTGCTTTATTGAACTGCCCTTATCCTAACCCATTAGGGCTTTTTTCACATCTTATTTTCTCCCTGCTCCATCCTACTGAGGAAGAGACTGATAGAATGGCTTGGTGGGCACCTGGCATCCAGACAGGGTTAACCTACTACACCCACCTTTTGTGAAAACCTCTTCTTGATACTGAGCAGGTCATGTTTTACATCGTACATTCAAAGACAAACTTAGTTACTTCTCAAGTATTCATCTTCTCCCCCCAACAGAGAATTAAGAGCTAAACTTCTCCTAAAAAAAGGATACAACAACAGGAAAGAGCACTGTAGGACTCAAACAGGTGAGTGGCAATATCCAGTCTCTTCGAATCCACCGACTGCTGGTTGTTGACCAAGGCTAACTTGTGCAAGTGTGGAATGACAACTGCAAGAGTGAATACTGGAGTAAGTATTTGAAATTGCTTTCCACAGACTTAGCATTAAACAGTTTCAAAGTGGCAATCACAGGCATCTGAGGCATCACACATTAGTGGGGAATAAGAACTGCAAATAATGGCATTTGATGAGACTGCCCTTGCAGATTTAACTGATCAGCTCAAACTTGAAACAACACTGTGGTAACACCCACCTAAAACAAAACAGTACCTCAGAATGCCTTTGAAATAGTAAAAGTTTATAGAAAATATTTTGCAATATCATCACTCTCCTGCTGCTAAAGCTGTCTGAAATATGCTATTTTATAAATACAGCTGATAAGCTAGTGACAGAGATGGGCATGTCAGGAGAAACCTTCCCAGCCTACAGAAGAAGCCTGTCTAATGAGTTTAGTCTCCTAAACCAGACACCTGCTGTTGGGAGGCATGACAACTTAACTTCTCTCTTCCATGTGCTTTACATTTCGGAGCCAAGAGAATGAGCTGTTTTGTTAATCTGGGATGCACCCACATTGAGGATGTATGGAATGCTGGAAATTTACATGCCAGCAGGGGTTGAAGCAATGGGGTAGGGGAAGGAAAGCATTTTACATGACAAGCAATTCAAAAAAGACAACTTGAAATTTGCTCTGCAGCAGAGTGACCAGTCCCCTCCAGCTCTGAAATCATTCCTCACCATGTGCTGGTGTTCTATACAAACACATCTGTGTTACGTAAAGTGAAAATTTTATTAGCAAAGTCTTAAATACTGGGACATATCAAACTCTGAAAACAAGAGTTTTCATCAAACTTTTTGTGAAGACAAAAAAAATCAGTATAACAAGTATACTGCTAGCTTTGGGATGGAAAGAGGAAGACTATCTTCCCACTGATGCAACTTACATTCATCTCTAAATCTAGGCTCAGCATTAGGTCCAACTCTTCCAAATGTTTTTATGATTTCTGTATGTAGAGAATGTTGGTCTTGATATTGAGGGTCTTCCAGAAAAGATGCCAGCTGCATTTTCACTCTTTC